TTATTCCTCAAAGATGATTTTTAAAGAGATCATTAACAGAAAACCAAAATCCAATGCTGAAATAAAATATTTTGTTCTTATATTTTAGAAAAGACTCCATCTGTTAGCATCAGCAGCTTCAATAAATTAATGCACATAATACTTTTAAAAACAGTTGACTTGCAGGTTTGGTCCATCAAACTCAAGCTCAGTTTTACATTTCTGTGAACTGTACATTGAGATCTATTTCTAGAGAGATCTAAAATAAATTCCAAATAAATTCCAAAAAAATTCCAAAATAAATGGAATTAGCAGAGAAAGAGTCAATCTTGAGTTCACATAACCCCTGAGAATTATTATTCCTTTTCAGCACTCGGGCTCCAGCTTTATTCCACAAAGCCTATACCAGTGGCTGAATACCCCACCCCAGCAGCAGATGCCTGGGCCCAAGATCAGCTGTGATGCTGGTTTTGCACAGCAGAGAAACCAACTTTCCTCACCTTCACTCAACCAGAGGAACAGTCAGGCAGTCTTGCCCAGGGCAAACCTACCTTTGAGCCAGCCAAACTGCTATATGGCCTCCCCCGATAGAAAGGCCCTCAAGCCTCTGAATGACAGCCCTGTGCCCACAAACAGAGCCCAGGAAACAGCTTTATGCAGTGCTCCCATGCCTGAGGACTAAGAAACAGCTTCACAGATAACCCCAGACCAGCCAAGGAGCTATACACCTGTGTCCTAGGCCTAACAGAGGCCTGTGGGACTCCCCATCCCCCAATAGGCAGGCCAGTTATGCCTCTGTATCCCAGGCCTAAAGCAGCCCTGTGGGCCAGCCCTGAGAGGCATACCTCCAAACTAGCTGAGTAACCCTGCACCTAGCTATGTTCTCAGACCTGAGAAGCAGCCTCATAGGCTGCTCCTGGAAGACATGCCCCCAGGCTGGCCATGCAGCTGTGCCACTGCATCCTGGGCCTGAGAAGCCGTCCTGTGGGCAACTCCCAGAAGACACAACCCCTGGTCAACTGAGAAGCCATGGAACCACATCCTGAGCCTAAAAAACAGCCCTGTGGACTATGCCCAGCAAGCGTGCCTCCAAGCCAACCAAGAAGCCATTGTAGCTATGTCCTAGGCCTGAGAAATGGTCTTTGGGTCACCTCCAGTAAACACATCTCTAGGCTAGCTGAATAGCTATGCACCTGCATACCAGGCCTGAGAAACAGCTCCACAGACCACTCCTGACAGACATCACCCAAGACAGCCAATCAGTCACACACCCATACTCCTTCCTAGAGTAATAAACCCATGGCCACAGCCCCAGCAAGCCAGATCCCAAGTTGGTTGACCCATTATGTGAACACAGACACCCCAACCGAGAAATAGCACATCTTGGAAAAGCCATACCACTATCACCACAACTATTACAATTTCTCTCAGTCTAGGTCACTGAGAAACTTATGAATACCACTAGTGTTGACTACATTTGAAGAAACTACATAGCAGCTACACTACTGCATCCACCTAGAACCAAAGGCAATACACCCCACAAAACCAACAAACCAAGACCAATTTATAGAAATAACTATTTCCCTATGAAATGTTCTCCATACAACTGGAAGAGATGACTTTTCCACTAGATGCACAGAAATCAATGTAGGGACCCAACCACCATGAAAAATAAGGAAAAATGTCACTTCCAAAAGAAAGCAATAATTCTCCAACACCAGACTCCAATCATAAGGAAATATATGAAATGCTAGAAAAAGAATTCAAAATAATAATCTTAAGGAAACTCAGTGAGATAGAAGAGAATACAGTTAGACAATTCAGTGAAAGCAGGAAAACAATTCATGATTTGAAAGAGAAATGTAACAAAAACATATAAAAAAGAACCAAATAGAAATCCTAGAGCTGAAGAGCTCAGTGAATGATATAAAAAATACAACTGAAAGCTTCAACAACAGATGAGATAAAGCAGAAAGAATTTTTGAACTTAAAAGATAAGTCTCTTGAAATAATACAGGCAGACGAAAAAAAAAAAGAATAAAAAGAATGAAAGAAGCCTACAGGATCTATGGGATACTATTAAGCAAACAAATATTTATATTATGGGTGTTCCAGAAGGAGAAGAGAAGGTGAAAAGTGAGAAAAACATATTTAATGAAATCATATTATAAAATTCCCAAGTCTCAGGAGAGAAATGGATATCAACAAAGAAATAATGGAATTAAACTGCACCATAGATGAAATGGACCTAACAGGTATTTACAGAACATACACCCAACAGCTGTAGAATACACAATCTTTTCATCAGTACATGAAATATTTTCCAGGATTGACCTACATTGGGGACAAGAATCAAGACATTGGGGACAAGTATCAAGAAATTTTTTTTTATTGTTTAAGGTTAATTTGAGGGTACAAAGAATTATGTTACAATTTTGCATGTGTTAAGTAGAGTTCCTCTTATAATTGTGTCCCACCCCCAAAGATGTGCCATACACCCTAACATTGTGCCCATTAAGTGGGAGCATGCCCATCCTCCTCCCTTCTCCTCTCTCCCTGATCCTCATTCTCCTGCCCCCCACCTTGAATTGATTTGAGTTTTTCCCTTATGTGAACATGTATTGATCATCTACTGGCATCATATTAGTATTGAGTACCTTGGATTCTTGTTCTCCATTCTTGTCATACTTTACTAAGAAGCCTCAAGAAATTTTTAAAAATCAAAATCACATCAAATAGCTTATCTAACCACAATGGAATAAAACAAGGCACCAATAATAAGAGAAACATGCAAATCTATTCCACACATGGAAATTAAAAATTCTCCTGAACAATGGGTAAAGAACTTAAGAGTGAAATTTTAAAATTTCTTAAAGCAAATCAAAATAGGAACACAATATACCACTACCTAAGGGACACACAAAAAGCAGTATCAAGAGGCACATTTATAGCAATAAATGCCTATATCAAAAAGGTAGAAAGATTTCAAATAAACAACCTAATGATGCACCTCAAGGAACTAGAAGAGTTAAAAAAAAAAAAAAAAAACTTAACCCAAAAGTAATAGAAAAAAGAAAAGAGATCAGAGGAGAAATATAAGAAATTGAGACTAAAACAATACAATCTAAAAAACAAAAAGTGGATTTTCTAAACAATAAATAAAATTAAATTATTAGCTAGACTAAGGAGAAAAAAAGAAAGCTAAAACCCAAATAAATAAAAGTTGGAAATGAAAAAAGGTGATATCACAACAGATACAAGAGAAATACAAAGAATCATTAGAGACTACTATGAACAACTAGACGCCAATAAATTCAAAAACCTAGAGAACATGGA